ACACAAACTACACCCTTTTTGGCTCCTACCTCAAAGCACACTGTGCTGTCGATCTTACGTGCTGCACAATAATGTTTAATATTTAGTATTTACTGTTATATTCACATAGATCATCGTGATGTTGTTTATTATGTTGCTCTGTTTCTTTGTTTTCTCTTTTTTCTTTCTCAACAGGTGATTCAGGTGATTGATGGATGGATTTTTTGTCTGTTTGTTTTGTTTGTTTTTGTTTTTTGCCCTTTTTCCCTGTCCCTCCTCCTGCTGTTTTTCTTTCCCTCTTTCTTTCTCCTCTTTCTTTTACCCAGGCTCTTTCGTCTTCAACCGTCAGTGACCTGCAGAGCAGCACCATGGAGAAGGTTTGTCAGAGAGAAGTCTTCTGTGATATTATAATATGCCCCCTTCATCTCTCGAGCTCCTGGAATAATTTTGTTTCATCTTAAAAGGCTGGAAGATGTTGCAGAACTTCTAGACAGAAAACAAGTCCTTGAGAGGCTGTCCACGTTCAGATCTGACCAATAGTGAATCATTCATGGAGTGCAGGAAACATGGTGAGAGCCTGATTAAGGACAGGGAGAAATGGTGATGTTAAATCAGCACAGAGGGCTGGTTAGACCAAAACCTTTACATGAAAAAGCTGAGAAACTCTGGCTGGTGAATTGGATCTTTTTATGTGGTTAAAGTCACATCATGCATATGAATCCATGCTGGCTGCATGTTTATATATCAACTAAAAATTGCACAGACTTGTAAAGATCATTTCTCATCGGTGCCTCTTTTCATTTTTGCAGTGTTGTGTTTAACATGTCATCAAAGCTGTGCCACCTACATGCATGAATTCATAAGACAGTGTGTATGCCAGGCACAGCAGACTAACACGACAGCCTCCTGACAGCTCCGTACACAGGCAGCCTGCTTTGTGTTTTAGATATACAGTATATTTGGAAAGTAATTCAAGAGCAAGGAGGCGGAGGGAGCAGAAACACCACACGAATAAATAGAAATCAAACACTCACCGGCTGAGGTTTTGGTACTTTGAGCAGAGATATGTGGGAAGGGGTGTGGCAACAGGGTTTGACAAGGGGGCCATGACGGGCAGCAGACAAAATAATAAAAAAATAAATAATAAAAAATACTTGTGTGATGATTGATCAATCAGCCCTCTGCACTGTTGGTGTCTCTGAGCCCTCCTGAGCTTCAGCTCATGTTGTCATGGTCTGTGGACAGCAGTGGACCCAAAGACAGACACGAAACGTGGAAACATTTGAACAGAAAACGTGTCTTTGATTATGGCCGCAAACATGAACCACACACGAAAAAGAGAAACTAATCGCAAAAACCTGAACTGGGAAAATGAATACATGAAAACCAGGAACACTAGGAAACAGATATGAGACATGAGGAGCTCAGCAGATGATCGGACGACCAGCAGAGGGAGACAGAGGGCGTAGATACACAGAAAGGTAAGGATGGAACCAGCTGACAGATGAACGTGACTCCACAGGGGAAGCAAACACACCGAACATGGAACACGAGACTGTCAAAATAAAACAGGAAATAGGCAGAGTAAGACACTCGGACTAAACAAGTGAACAGGGACAATGGGAGACGAGACACAGATCAAACTA